GTAAACAATAAATTGTATGTTATCCCACACCTATGTCTCCTAACGTGATACCAAAAAAGTAATAATGTGACCAATTTCACTAACTTAATTATACCCTATTGGATGGCTGCAGACAACAAAAGTGTTCCCACCTACTGAGGAAGTCACATGGTGTATGCATGTAGATGGAGCTGGGTGTGAGAGAGACGAAAATGGAAGTGACGTGGGAATCATGGCCCAGCCGTCTGTGATTCAAAGCCTATCATTTCTATCTAAATGTGAGTGTAATTTTTCTTTAATAAACATAACTTTTATACATACTATACTATGGGAACTCCATGTTTTGCATGAGCCTACTGTAGAGATAAGGACCGTATCCCGGAAGGACTTCAAACCAGCGGAGGTACAAATCCCAAACCCAGAAACGGCAGGAATCTTTAAGGGGAATTATCAAAAGAATCCCACATAAAGGAAAAAGGCATATATAACCTTCCAGTGAACAGGTCCACATGTGGAGGTGAGTGCAGTGTTGACTGGTGGTGGATACAACTTGCATGGTGTGGATTAAACACAGGAGGTGCTATATAGATATAAAGTGAAGATTGCACACACCGTTGTAGTCACAAGATTATTACGATATTTGAAGAGACTGTTTATGTTCATTTATTCACAAGGGACACTTTAACATTAAGTTTATACTGATATGGTGTTTAATATTTATTTAAATTTATGTTGATTCATATTATATTGAAAATTGCAATGTTCAAATATACATATGGGGTATGAATTGTATGCATTTATTTACTGAGAGAAAGATGCAGCATCACTTTTTATAATTTAAAAGGTAGCATGGCACTAGTACTAGCACTCTGCTGCATATAAGAATCATCGTGCAATTCTAACACCTCAGCAACCTGGGTACGGGGTTGGGTATGACCTTAGCAGGGACCTCTTCTCCATCGTCTGAGCTATCTGTCTACAGGTTCGTATTCTGAGGTGGATTCTGTTAGTTATTCTTTTCATTTGCCCTCATCTGACATACTCAAAATCTTGTAGGCCTCTTCACTAGTGTACCCTTCTTTGGACATTTTGGACACCAAATTTACTGCTTGAACCGCTACAAAAAACTGCTTTACACCACTGCATCCGACACTTTGCATTGCACTTGGTGAGGTGAGGCTTGGATGCAGCTGCTTGGCCATGGAAACCCATTCCATGAAGCTCTCGTGGCTGTGTTGCTGTTGTTCCCTGTTGCTTCCACTTTGTTATAATACCACAAACAGTTGACTGTGGAATATGTAGTAGCAAGGAAATTTCACAGATGTACTTATTGCACAGCTGGCAACCTATCATAGTACTACGCCTAAATTCATTGAGCTCCTGAGAGCAACCCATTCTTTCACAACTGTTTGTAGAAGCAGTCTGCATGCCTAGGTGCTTGATTTTATACACCTGTGGCCATGGAAGTGATTGGAACACCTGAATTCAATGATTTGGAGGGCTGTCCCAATACTTTTGGCAATATAATGTATGTTTAAATTGCCGTTCTAATCCATAGCAATGCATTATTATTTACCACTAAACAGGTGTGCATCTATTTATTAATGGTAACCCACAGCCAGGTTAAAGGTATTTTGCAAATGCGTCTTTACTCATGCCTGCAGTGTGTCAAAGGGGCTGAGGTTGTTCTTTAAGTCCAGATGCAGAACAGAGAAACCAAAGTTACCAAATGGCTCCTTGGGGGGTGGAGCTACATATTTATGATTTAATGCTCTACAGCCATTTCCATATTCTATATATATATTATACAGGTGAAACTCGAAAAATTAGAATATCGTGCAAAAGTTCATTTATTTTAGTAATGCAACTTAAAAGGTGAAACTAACATACAGTATGAGATAGACTCACTACATGCAAAGCAAGATAGTTCAAGCCGTGATTTGTTATAATTGTGATAATTATGGCTTACATGAAAACCCCAAATCCACAATCTCAGAAAATTAGAATATTACATGCAATCAATAAAACAAGGATTGTACATAGAACAATATCGGACCTCTGAAAAGTATAAGCATGCATATGTACTCAGTACTTGGTTTGGGCCCCTTTTGCAGCAATTACTGCCCCAATGTGGCGTGGCATGGAAGCTATCAGCCTGTGGCACTGCTGAGGTGTTATGGAAGACCAGGATGCTTCAATAGCGGCCTTCAGCTCTTCTGCATTGTTCGGTCTCATGTCTCTCATCTTCCTCTTGGCAATGCCCCATAGATTTTCTATTGTGTTTAGGTCAGGCAAGTTTGCTGGCCAATCAAGCACAGTAATCCCATGGTCATTGAACCAGGTTTTGGTACTTTTGGCAGTGTGGGCAGGTGCCAAGTCCTGCTGGAAAATGAAGTCAACATCCCCATAAAGCTCGTCTGCGGAAGGAAGCATGAAGTGCTCCAAAATCTCCTGGTAGACGGTTGCGTTGACCTTGGACTTAATGAAGCACAGTGGACCAACACCAGCAGATGACATGGCTCCCCAAATCAACACAGACTGTGGAAACTTCACACTGGACTTCAAGCATCTTGCAGTGTGTGCCTCTCCATTCTTCCTCCATACTCTGGGTCCTTGGTTTCCAAATGAGATGCAAAAGTTGCTCTCATCAGAAAAGAGGACTTTGGACCACTGAGCAAAAGACTAGGTCTGTTTTTCTTTAGCCCAGGTAAGACGCTTCTTGTTTGTTTGTTGTTCAGGAGCGGCTTGACAAGAGGAATACGACATTTGAAGCCCATGTCCAGGATCTGTCTGTGTGTGGTGGCTCTTGATGCACTGACTCCAGCCTCAGTCTTGTGAAAGTCCCCAACACTTTTGAATGGCCTTTTCCTGACAATCCCCTCCAGGCTGTGGTCATCCCTGCTGCTTGTGCACCTTTTTCTTCCACACTTTTCCCTTCCACATAACTTTCTATTAATGTGCTTTGATACAGCACTTTGGGAACATCCAACCTCTTTTGCAATTACCTTTTGAGGCTTTCCCTCCTTATGGAGGGTGTCAATGATGGTTTTCTGCACAACTGTCAGGTCAGCAGTCTTTCCCATGATTGTGATTCCTACTGAACCAGACTGAGAGACCATTTAAAGGCTCAGGAACCCTTTGCAGGTGTTATGGCTTAATTAGCTGATTAGAGTGGGACACTTTGAGCCTAGATTATTGCACCTTTTCACAATATTCTAATTTTCTGAGATTGTGGATTTGGGGTTTTCTTGAGCTGTAAGCCATAATCATCACAATTATGACAAATCACAGCTTGAACTATCTTGCTTTGCATGCAATGAGTCTATCTCATATATTAGTTTCACCTTTTAAGTTTCATTACTGAAATAAATGAACTTTTGCACGATATTCTAATTTTTCGAGTTTCACTGTGTATATATATATATATATATATATATATATATATATATATATATATATATACTGCAAAAAAAAAAATTAAAGGTACCCTTTGAAACCACATCAGATCTAAATGAGGAAAAATATCATGCTGGATATCTATACTGATATGGACTGGGTAATGTGCTAGGAATGTAAGGAAGCCCCATCGTTTGATGGAAATGAAAATTATCAACCTACAGAGGACTGACTTCAAAGACACCTTGAAAAGCAAAGTGAAAAAAATTATGCAGCAGGTTAGTCCATTTTGTTGACATTTCATTGCAGCAAATCAAAATGGTACTCAGTAGTTTGTATGGCCCCCATGTGCTTGTATGCATGCCTGACAACATCGGGGCATGCTCCTAATGAGACGACGAATTGTGTCCTGCGGTATTTCCTCATTTCGGATAGACTGAAACATGATATCCCAGAGGCATTCTATTGGATTTAGGTCAGGCGAGCGTAGGGGCCATTCAAAGGTATCAATTCTTTCATCCTCCAAGAACTGCCTGCATATTCTCGCCACATGAGGCCGGGCATTGTCATGCACCAGGAGGAACCCAGGACCCACTGCACCAGCGTAGGGCCTAAAACTGGGTGCAAGGATTTCATCCCGATACCTAATGGCAGTCAGGGTGCCATTGTCTAGCCTGTAGAGGTCTGTGCGTCCCTCCATGGATATGCATCCCCAGACCATCACTGACACACCACCAAAACGGTCATGCTGAATGATGTTAAAGGTAGCATAACATTCTCCACGGCATCTCCAGACCCTTTCACATCTGTCACTTGTGCTCAGGGTGAACCTGCTCTCATCTGTGAAAAGCACTGGGCGCCAGTGGCGGACCTGCCAATTTTGGTGTTCAATGGCAAATGCCAATCAAGCTCTGTGATGCTGGGCAGTGAACACAGGGCCCACTAGAGGACGTTGGGCCCTCAGGCCACTCTCATGAAGTCTGTTTCTGATTGGTCAAAGACATTTACACCAGTGGCCAGCTAGAGGTCATTTAGTAGCGCTCTGGCAGTGCTCATCCTGTTCCTCCTTGCACAAAAAAGCAGATACCGGTCCTGCTGATGGGTTAAGTAGCTACTACGACCCTGTGGAGCTCTCCTAGAGTAACTGCCTGTCTCCTGGAATCTTCTCCATGCTCTTGAGACTGTGCTGGGAGACACAGCAAACCTTCTGTCAATGGCACGTATTGATGTGCCTACCTGGAGGAGTTGGACTGCATGTGCAACCTCTGTAGAGTCCAGGTATCGTATCATGCTACCAGTAGTGACACTGACCCTAGCTAAATGCCAAACTAGTGAAAAACAAAAAAGATGAGTAGGGAATGTCAGTGGCCTCCACTTGTAAAACCATTCCTGTTTTGGGGGGTTTTCTCACTGCTGCCCATCTAGTGCACCTTTTGTTAATTTCATTAACACCAAAGCAGCTGAAACTGATTAACAACCCCCTCTGCTACTCAACTGATCAGATCAATATCCCAGGAATTTAACTGACATGATGCTATACTCTGATTAAAAAGTGTTCCTTTAATTTTTTTGAGCAGTATATACAGTATATATATATATATATATATATATATATATATATATATATGGCTTGAAAAAGACACTCGTCTGCTCGCCAAATGCGAGGAGAAATTCCTCTGTGGCGAGCGGCGAGCTGCGAGCACAGATGAAGCATGGAGCAACTGCACCTGCGCTCCAAGCCTCATTGTGAAGCTGAGTTCCGGTTTACAACTTCTGGTTTCCGGTTTCTGCGGCACCGCCGCTGAGGGGACAGGTGCAGGAGAGACACCCTCTCCACGGCCGCGGGGGACTTGGAGGGACTAGGAGTAAGTACTGTATACATGTCATATCACTATAATGGAGTATAGGGGAGCTGGGATATACATTACTGTCTACATATCACTATAATGGAGTACAGGGGAGATGGGATATACATTACTGTATACATGTCATATCACTATAATGGAGTACAGGGGAGCTGGGATATACATTACTGTATAGATGTCATATCACTATAATGGAGTACAGGGGAGCTGGGATATACATTACTGAGTAATGTATATCCCAGCTCCCCTGTACTCCATTATAGTGATATTACATGTATACAGTATTATTATTATTATTATACAGTATTTATATAGCGCCAAAAGGATTGCTCAGCGCTGTACATTATAGTGGGGGGACAGTACATGAGACAATATAGTAACAGAACAATACACGAGGGGTTCGAGGGCCCTGCTCTTTCGAGCTTACAATCTAGGAGGGAGGGGATAGTGGTACAGGAGGAAGTGGCTGTGGGGGATGGAGTGGTAGGAGGAGTGGAGGAGATCGGCTGTTAAGTGAGAGTGGGGTAGGCTTCCCTGAAGAAATGGGTTTTCAGGGTGCGCCCAAAGGTGAGGAGGGTGGTGGGTGACAGTCTGATGGATTGGGGTAGTGAGTTTCAGAGGATGGAGGAAGTCCTGGAAAAGTCCTGCAGTCGGGCGTGGGAGGAGGAGACCAGGGAGCTAGAAAGTAGGAGGTCTTGTGAGGAGCGAAGAGTACGATTTAGGTGGTATTTGGGTATCAGGTCGGTGAGGTAGTTTGGGGCAGCCTTATGAATGGCTTTGTATGTCAATGTTAGTAGTTTGAATTTAATGCGTTGGGCAATCGGAAGCCAGAGGAGGGAATGACAGAGGGGGGTGGCAGAAGCGAAGCGGTTGGTAAGGTGGATGAGTCTGGCCACTGAGTTCAGGATAGACTGAAGTGGGGATAGCCTGTGTTGGGGTAGGCCGGTGAGGAGGGAGTTGCAGTAGTCCAGACGTGAAATAATAAAAGGGAGTGAACGAGTTGTTTAGTAGTGTCTGGGGTTAGGAACGAATGTATTTTGGAGATGTTGCGGAGGTGGAGCCTGCATGAGTTTGCCAGTGATTGGACATGGGGTTGGAAGGACAGGTTTGAGTCTAGAGTGACACCTAGGACTTTGGCTTGCGGAGTGGGACTAATGGTGGCGTTGTTGGTCGTGATGGAGAGGATGGGGGGGGGGCGCGGGCTGGGGGGAAAATTAGGAGCTCGGTTTTGGAAAGGTTAAATTTAAGGAAATGGAGCGACATCCAGTCTGATATATCGTTCAGTAGGTGGGTGATACGGGCGGAGACTGAAGGGGTGAGGTGAGGGGTGGAGAGGTAAATTTGCATGTCATCGGCGTAGAGGTGATAGTTGAAGCCGTGGGAGTGTATCAGTTTGCCGAGGGAGCAGGTGTAGATGGAGAAGAGAAGGCGCCCGAAGACAGAGCCTTGGGAGACCCCAACAGAGAGGGGGAGAGAGGGGGAGGTGGCAGTGTTATAGGTAAGGTTAAGGTTGTTCAGGTCGGTGGGGTCCAGGGAGGGTTTTTTGAGTATGGGGGTGATGTGCGTGTGATTTAGGGGGGAGGGGAATGTGCCAGTAGAGAGGGAGAGATTGAAGATGTGGGTGAGGGAGCGTAGGATGGAGGAGGAGGGTGACCGGAGGAGTTGTGTGGGGACAGGGTCAAGGGGGCAAGTGGTGAGGCGGGCTTCTAAGAAGACCTTAGTGACCTCCTCAGTGGTAGCAAGGCTGAAGGAGCGGAGTGTTGGGGAGGTTATAGTGTGCGGGATGTTAGGTGTGGTGGGGGGCAGGGCGGTTGCGAGGTCAGAGGAGGGGAGAATTGATGGTGTTATAGTGGGAGGGAGGCTAGGTGGGGAGGTAGATTGAGCATTACTCAGTAATGTATATCCCAGCTCCCCTGTACTCCATTATAGTGATATGACATGTAGACAGTAATCATTACTGTATACATGTCATATCACTATAATGGAGTACAGGGGAGCTGGGATATACATTACTGTGTACAGTGTTATATTTTGGACTCTTTATTCTAAAGAAAAATGTAATTTCATAAGCTTTAAGGGGGCGGGTCGGGGCAGGTCGGGGGTGGGGTTTGGGGCAGGCCGGGGTGGGGTGGGGTTGGGAGGCGGACCTGGGCAAGGTTGGGTGGGGCAACTGGTGGACAGTAAGTTTTGTGACAGGGTAGTAGGTCTGGACTCGAAATTTTAACCCCTGTGTATATATATATATATATATATATATATACACACACACTCACCGGCCACTTTGTTAGGTACACCTTACTTGTGCCAAGAAATTATCCCCCACACCATTACCCCTCCCCACCAGCAGCCTGCACTGTTGATGCAAGGCAGGATGGATCCATGCTCTCATGTTGTTTATACCAAATTCTAACCCTACCATCTGAATGTTGTTGCAACCAGTCTGCCCATTCTCCTCTGACCTCTGACATCAACAAGACATTTTTGTCCACACAACTGCCTCTCACTGGATATTTTCTCTTTTTTGAACTATTCTCTGTAAACCCTAGAGATGGTTGTGCGTGAAAATCCCAGTAGATCAGCAGTTTTTGAAATACCCAGACCAGCCTGTCTGGCACCAACAACCATGCCATGTTCAAAATCACTTAAATCCCCTTTCTTCCCCATACTGATGCTCGGTTTAAACTTCAACAAGTCATCTTAACCATGTCTACATGCCTAAATACACTGAATTGCTGCCATGTGATTGGCTGATTAGCAATTTGTGTTACCAAGCAATTGAACAGGCATACCCAATAAAGTGTCCAATGAATGTATAATCCAAATAAACATATATATATATATATATATATATATATATATATATATATATATATATATATTACTGTGCAAAAGTTTTAGACAGGTGTGAAGAAATGCTCTAGTAAGTAAGAATGCTTTAAAAAATCTATATTTAATTGTTTATATTTATCAATGTACAAAATGCTAAGTGAGCAAACAAAAAATAAAATCTAAATCAAATCAATATTTGGGTTCAAATCACCATCAATTCTTACACTTGCACGCTTTGTACACCTGCACAAAATAAGGGATTTTGTAGGATTATAATTATTCAATTATATCAAGGTGTTAATGATCATCAATTTCATATGAAGGTTGAAACACAGTCATTAACTGAAACAGAAACAGCTGTGTAGGAGGCCTAAAACTGTGTGAGAAACAGCCAAACTCTACTACTAAGGTGAAGTTGTAGAAGACAGTTTCTTGTCATAGGTCATACACCATGGCAAGACTGAGAACAGCAACAAAACACAAGGTATTTATATTGCATCAGCAAGGTCTCTTCCAGGCAACGATTTTAAAGCAGACTTGGGTTTAAAAATGTGCTTTTCAATCTCTTTGGAAGGAGCACAAAAAAATGGGCAATATTGAGGACCATAGAAACAGTGGTTGGTCAAGGAAACATAATGTAGCAGATGAAAGGCACATCATGCTTAGTTCCCTTTGACATTTGAAGATTTTCAGCAGTGCCATCAACACAGAACTGGCAAAAACCATTGGGACCCAGGTACACCCATCTACTGTCCGGAGAAGTCTTGCCAGATGTGGTCTTCATGGAAATACTGCGTTCGAAGTGTCTCAACTATGCACGAAAACATAGGAACTGTGGTGCAGAAAAAAAGCAGGTACTTTGGACCAATGAGTCAAAATTTTAATATTTGGCTGTCCCAAGAGGCAGTTTGTTCACCAAAGGTCTTGAGAGCAGTACAATAAAGATTGTCTGCAGGCAACAGTGAAACATAGTGGAGGTTCCTTGCAAGTGTGAGGCTGCATTTCTGCAAATGGGGTTGGAAATTTGGTTAAGATCAACCTCAATGCCAAGAAATACAGGCAGATACTTATCCATCATGCCATACCATCAGGAAGGTGTGTGATCGGCCCCATATTTACTCTGCAGCAGGACAATGATGCCAAACATACAGTCCATGTCATTAGGAACTATCTTCAGTGTAAAGAACAAGGAGTCCTGGAAATGATGATTTGACCCTCACTGATCTCAACATCATGGAGTTTGTCGGGGATTACATGAAGAGACAGAAGGATTTGAGGAAGCTTACATCCACAGAAGAATTGTGGTTAGTTCTTCAAGACGTTTGGAACAACCTACCCTCAATACAAAATAAATCCCTAACAAAAAAATTGACATGGGTCTGTAATGGTACCACATCAGCAAACCTTTGTTTATGTAAAAAGGAAATAACATTTATTATACAACATAATATTTTTTTTTAAATTAAAAACAACAATTCCATGCACATATTATCTTATACTCAGGTATCACTCCTGAATTGGAACCTATACACAATATAAAAGATGGAAACCATGGGGTTTTCACATTCAATGCATTTCATTTCACAAGTCAACGCCTGCTTCCTTAGAAAAGTACAAAAGCTTATTCATATCTGTAACACAAATGGATAGGTTGTATTTATCAGCATTCAATTATAATTTCCGTATTTTTCGCTCCATAAGACGCACCTGACCATAAGACCCACCTAGATTTTAGAGGTGGAAAACAAGAAAAAAAATATTCTGAACCAATAGACTGCAGACATAGTACAGGAGATGACCAGAGACTGCAGACACAGTACAGGAGATGACCAGAGACTGAGGACATAGTATAGGAGATGACCAGAGACTGCGGACATAGTACAGGGGATGACCAGAGACTGCAGACAGTGCAGGTGATGACCAGAGACTGCAGACAGTACAGGGGATGACCAGAGACTGCAGGGGGAGTACAGACAGGGGATGACCAGAGTCTGCAGACAGTATAGGGGATGACCAGAGACTGCGGACAGTATAGGGGATGACTAAGAGTCTGCGGACAGCACAGGGGATGACCAAGAGACTGCGGACAGTGCAGGGGATGACCATAGACTGCGGACATGGTGCAGGAAATGACCAGAGACTGCGGACAGTGCAGGGGATGACCAGAGACTGCAGACAATACAGGAGATGACCAGAGACTGCAGACAGTACAGGAGATGACCAGAGACTGAGGACATAGTACA